CTCGGCCAGACAGGAGTTACAAAACACAAAACCAATACCGATGATGCCTCCCCTATACGTCAAAACCCTAGGAGGCTGCCAATTGCACAGCGGGAGGAGGCATTCAAAGCTGTTGAGGAGATGCATGCACTAGGCATAATCAAACCCTCGAGGGGACTGGGCCGGACATGGAAGAGTGAAAACGTGTTTTCGCAGAGCTCCTACAAAAGTTCCAAATTTTCCTTCCTATTTTTATGGAATTGCTTTCTTCTGTAAAAAGGAAGACTAGAGTAAGTAGCAGTAGTGCTACGTTGTCCACTGAAGGAATTCTATCGCCTGAAAATAAGCGCATAAAAGACGTGGAAAACGAACTGAGCTGCCATGAGTCCGCCATTGAGACCGCTGCGAGTGTCCTTTGCGAAATGTCAGCAACGAGTGTAGAGCAAGGCGATAAAAACAAGATGGACATAATTCTCGATAAACTTGAGAAATTAGATTTAATGCCCACTCACACAGCTCCTGATATCAATTCGCTTCGAGAAACAGTCGACAAGGTGAATTTAACGGTGGCGGGTCTACAGAAAGATTTCTTACGGGTCGAGAAAAATCTGAAAAACGTGACTGTTAAAACCTGCGAGCTGGAAGCCAGCATAGTCAGCTTAAATCAAGATGTAGAAGAAGGAAAGGCGACTTTAGAGAAGTCAAACCAGAAGAATGATGAAAAGATAAATAAGCTGCGGTTACAGCTATTAAATTACGAAGTCTATCATCGCCGTGAAAACTTGCGTTTCTATGGAATAAGTGAAGAAGGAGAAGCAGAAGATACCAAAGAAACCTTATTGAAATGTCTGGAAAACAGGTTCAAGATGGCCAACGCTCGGGATATTGAGTTTCAAAGGGTTCACAGATTGGGAAAGAGAAGCGACAAGAAAGGCAAGCCACGAGTCATCATAGCACGTTTCCTTCGTTACACCGATCGAGAAGCGGTCTTCTCTCTGCGTGCTTCCCTTGATAAAGAATCCGAAGTCGGAATTGGGCCTGACCTTCCTAAAGATGTGGTGGATATGCGTAAACCTCTTATCCCTAAGATGCTTGAGGCGAGAAAGCAGGGAAAGCATGCGGCCTTCAGCAGAGCAGAACCATAAAAACTGTTTATTGTCGGTAAACAATTCAATTAACTTTATCTTTGTTTATTCATAGATAATCTTTTCACTAGCTCGCAAGTGCTTACTGCTGGATCTATGTGTGTACTTATGGTAAGCAATTCCTAAGGTAATGTAAAGGAACCTATTTTTTTTCTCTCAGAATTGAACGATAGGAGCTCTTAAGATCTCTTATTTCATTTCAATTAGCTCCTCAATAACAAAAGCTTATTTCGCGTGGCTGAAGCGTATTCCCATGGGGCGGTTCCATTCCATCGTAGCTTTCAACAGTTCTTTTTTACTGGCTACGTTTAGAACCTTTAGAACTTTTGGCCTTTTGTTTTATGTAGTGTTGCTTTATGTAGTGTTGCTTTGTCCGACATCCGCTCTCTCTGGAGTGATAGCTATTGTTCGGTTGTTTATCATTGCAATTTATTTTTATGATAATTTCTACCATGGATCACAATAATATTAAGTTTAAAGTTGTATCGCTAAACGTTCATGGAATTCGCACTTTCGAAAAAAGGAAGGCAATCTTTAATTGGTAAGTATTTTATTTATCGCACCAAGCTAAATAAGACTTCTCTATCCTTTAAATCCTTTTCCGAAAGAATTAAGTACGTTTCAAATAGAACGTTTTATAGCCAGAAAGAATAATAAACTTGAGATCCATTACAACAAATGGAAACCCCTCCTTCAACTGATAGAACAATAGCTGAACTAATTTATTTTTTACATCAATACGCGGTGCCTTTTTTTTTTCTTTTTTTTCTTTTCTTTTTTTTCTTTTCTTTTTTTTCTTTTCTTTTATTCTCGTAGTCCAGTGTAGTGGTATTTTCTTTGTGTAATAGAGTATTGTAATGTAAATTTATGCATGTAGAAATTTGTGATGTATCTTGCGTACTTGTAAAAAGTGTAAAAACCCAAAAACAAATAAAATACAAAAAAAAAATAATCGAACCCTCAGCCAGCCCATGGGCTTCACCAGTGGTCCTGATGAAGAAAAAGGATGGTGGTACCAGATTTTGCGTTGAATACCAGAAATTAAACGAGCTGACCAAGAAGGACTCTTATCCTTTACCATGGGTAGACATGACTTTCGATGCCTTATCTGGTTCAAGCTGGTTCTCCACCCTAAACCTCAAAAGTGGGTACCGCAAGTGGAGGTAGAAGAGCAGGACCGTGAGAAGACTGCCTTCACTGCAGGCAATAGGCTGTGGCAGTTCAATGTGATGGCTTTCAGTCTATGTAACGCACCTGCGACTTTTGAGCGATTGATGGACAATATCCTTGGCAGCCTGAGGTGTTTGGTTGAGTTGAACTCAAAGAAGTGTGAACTCTTCCAGCGCAGGGTCAAGTTCCTTGGCCATGTTGTAAGCGAGGAAGGGGTTGCCACAGACCCTGAAAAAGTTGTGGTTGTCACAAACTGGTCAAAGCTGCAAAATGTCAGAAATGTTAGAAGCTTTCTTGGACTATGCCCTTACTACTGGCGATTTGTACCTTCTTTTGCTGATGTTGCCCGCCCTCTGCACCAACTGACTGAGAAACCATTTACGTGGACAAAGGAATGCAATAGTTTGTTTCATTGCCTCAAAGAAGCCCTTGCATCCCCTCCAGTCTTGGCCTATCCTGAGAGCGAGGACCCCTTTGTGTTAGACACGGATGCCAGCAATGTTGGTATTGGTGCCGTTCTGTCTCAAGTCCACCAAGGGAATGAAAGAGTCATCACTTATTACAGCCAGGCACTAAGCACACCAGAACGTAACTATTGCCCAACCAGACGTGAACTTTTGGCTATTGTCAAGGCAATTGATTATTTCCACTCCTACCTCTATGGGCGGAAGTTCACCATAAGAACTGATCACGTATCTCTCCGGTGACTACTAAACTTCAAGAATCCAGAGGGTCAGTTTGCAAGATGGTTGGACAAGCTGCAGACCTATGATTTTTGTATTGTATACTGCACAGGGAGAAGCCACCAGAATGCGAGCACTGTCAGAACCAAGAGGAAAAAGATATGACAGAAAATGCGACCAGCATGCCAAATGACTGTGTGGTGACTGTTACACAAGTCCACGTGTCTGAAGGCCCTCAATCTCAATCCGCTAGCTCGCTGAGGGAGGGACAGGAAGTAAAAGGATGGACCAACCTAAAGATGAACAGCTATCACCACTACAGTTGCAAACCCACCAGATGGAAGATAAAACTATTTATCACATCCTGCAATGGAAGGAAGCTGGAAAACGCCCAGAGTGGGCAAGCATCACCCATCTCGACTCCACCACTGAGGCTTACTGGGCCCAATGGGATTCGTTGGCTTTTAAGGAGGGAGTGCTGTATCATCAGTGGGAGTTAACCGAGCTTGGCAAGGTCACACGGCAACTGGCACTGCCAAAACGGCTTTGCACCAGCGTGTTAAAGCAACTCCATGATAACCCTGTACGAGATCACCTAGGAGTTTTCAAAACTCTGACTAAAGTGCGTGAAAGGTTCTACTGGATTCATTGCCACTGTGACGTTGAAGAATGGTGTCAAAGGTGTGACCTCTGTGCTGCTAGAAAAGGCCCCAGGGTAAAACAAAGATCTCCACTACAGTTGTACAATTGATGTCCTAGAACCTCTGCCAGGAACCGACTAAGGTACCAAGTGCATCCTCATTGCAATGGACTGTTTTAGTAAATGGCCCGAAGCATATGCACTCCCAAATCAGGAAGCGGTCACTGTTGCTGATGTCATTGTGTCCCAGTTCTTTAGTCGGTTTGGTGTCCCTGGTGAGCTACACTCTGACCAAGGATGAAATTTCGAATCATCCATGTTCCAGGAAGTATGCACCCTGCTTGGGATCCATAAGACCAGGATAACTGCACTACATCCACAGTCTGATGGCATGGTGGAGTGCTACGACCAGACTATAGAAGCCCTACTCGCTGCATTTGTCCAGAATCACAAGAGGGACTGGGATCGACATCTGCCTCTACTACTTGTGTCCTACCATTTAGCAGTGCATGAAACCACAAAGTTTACACTGGCAATGCTCATGTTTGGACGGAAACTGCGTGTACCCTTGGACCTGCTAATTGGGCGCCCACAAGGAGAACCTGAGGATAGAGGCTATCCTGAGTATAAGAGGTTGAGAGTCTGGAAACTGTTCACAATTTTGCTTCTGTACATCAGCAGGAAGGTAGTCTGAGGATAAAGAGGCGGTACGACATGCATATTGTTGCATCTGCCTTTGGAAGTGGGGATCTTGTATGGCTTCACAATCCCCAAAGAAAGAAGGGCATCTCACCAAAACTGAGACAGCCATGGGAGGGGCCATACGTTGTTGAGGAATGGCTTAATGATGTTGTGTACTGGATTCAGTGTGGCCCTCAGAAAAAGCCTAAAGTGGTACACAGAGACCACCTTCGGAAGTAATCTGGGGTAGAACGCACAGATTGGCTCCAGGGACCAATGCAAGACAAGAGTGAGGATGTATCTGGCCAAACAACTACACAGGAGGAAAACCAGGAGGTCAACACTAAGGGAAGAGCATCCGTTAGACATCCCAAAAGGAGACAGAAGTTACCTCACAGACTCAGGAAGAAGAACTCCCGGGACAAGGAGGCATGTGACAGGGCATTGAGGCAGCAGCAGGACCAGGAGGGCCTCAGGCGATCCAGCAGGAAGCTGAGAAATCCCCTAGATACAGGGACTATGAAATGACCTGAACACTTAATTAAGAGACATTGAACTGTTTTCTAATGTAGTTGATCTTAATGTAAGATTTCAGTTATTGTTTGAAGTTTGCCATTGTCCGGGAGGGATAATAGGCGTTAGATGGGTGCAGTGTAATGTTGTTACAATGCATGACATAGCCTTATATGGGACCTTCCATATATGGAAGAGGATGTGCAAGACAGGAGGAGTGAAGGTCAGTGGTGGTGTACGGAGAATAAAAAGATTTGAGTTATCCTATCAATTGTTCGGTTCTTGTCTACCTACAAACCCGCAGGAAGTTACAATGGTATATTCTCAGCAACAAAACCCAAGAAGGGAAGTTTAAATTATAATTATGACCGGAAATCACAACTCATTGGGCTAACTGGTGATGAACACTGAAGATGTTCATATCCTACAGAATCATATCAAATTAAATATACAAGCAGCATGTAAACACAGTTACCATTTGAAGTGAATAATATGTCTATGGAGATATATGGAATTTACACACTCATAGGAACTGTCTATGACCCCTATAAAAATATGAGTTGGAGACACACAAAGCCAATACAAATTCAAACACCTGTTACATTTCCTCTCTTTAACCCTTTCACTTCCAGGAGTGAATGATAAGTAATTTCTCCTTACGATATAAATACATTTTCAAGCAGAAAGATGATGAGCAGAAAGAAAAACATCAACCTGGGGATATTTTCTGTTGTATTTTCAGTGGTTCTTGTTGCTCACTTCCACCAAATTCTCCACCATCAGCATGATCTGGTAGGAAATACCCAACATCAAAATCATCATGTAACAAACAATAATTATGAAGGACACAAGCAGCTGATATTATTTGCACTGCTATGACTAAATCAAGGCAATCAAGATATCAAAGCTTTCGCCATCTTCCTTTGAGAAGAGAGGTCTCTCCACTTTCAGGTGTACAAAGAAAGGGCTTTGTTAAACTGCCTCTGTCTTCATGTCAAATGACCAATATCATTAGAATTCTTCTGTTGTGTATTATTTCTTAAGAGAACTTGCACATTTCCCTAGTCATCCAGAAGTGGTTTTTGAACTCCCACAGCAAATGCAGGTGACCTCAAATTCTGGTTGGATGCCTTCCATTTGACCAGCGAAAATTCCAAACATTTGGATAGAGGGCATGGGGGATGAAACTGGGTATCCTGACAAAACTAAACACAATATCTGTCTTTATATCTATGGTGGACCACTCTCTGTTAAACAGGGTGAGACTGAACATCCTGGTAGGCAATCAACTCATCTGTCAAAAGATACAAGGTGGACTTTGGCCAGTCAGTGCATTATGTCATGCACTACACAAAGAGCAAAGATAAACAAACCTATCATCTGGTCAGTCACTGCAAAAGATACTGGAGTCAGTTTGTCTTGGCCTGTCCGTGCCATTGGTAACACTTCTATCTGCCAAGAATGTGCTGCTGGTCCAGCAAAAGCTAGTTAGTGGTACTTAAATACTTTGCGAGCAGTTTCATGAAGTTGTCAGTCAAAAAACAACTCATACCTGCTCAGATGTCACCCAGGTTAACAAAATCCGCACTGATCTGTCCTCACTCCAACAAGCATCAAAAAGTATGCTAGGAACAGGCAAAAGGAGATGAATACAGCAGCCTTATGCATAGTAGAATGGAATGTACGCACTCCAATGTACAGACCAACATCACAGACTGTGTTTGTGGCCTTGGAAATGAACAGGTACAATGTTGAATGTTGACATAGCTAAGCTTTGTGAAACAAGATTGCTAAGATATGACAGCTTGGAAGATCATAGGTACATTTTCTTTTGGAGCAGGAAACCAACTCAAGAAGGAGAGAAGCAGGAGTGGGCTTTGCAGTTAGAAAGCAGATGGCAGCAAAGCTTGATGAGGAACCAGTGCCAATCAATGACTGGATAATGACTATGATACTGCCACTTAAGTGGAAGATGTATGTCACTTTCATCAGTGTGTACGCCCCAACAATGACCAACACAGAGGAGGCAAAGGAAGAGTTCTACAGTGACCTATCACAGACAATCAGGCAGGAACAGGATCTTGGATACACCTAAGATCCAAGCACTGGCACTTGTTAGACTACTTCATTGTAAGACAGAGGGACGTACCCTGCAGACACATTTTTTCTCTCTCTTTCCACTTTAACATTACCAGTGTAACAGATACAACAATTACAAATTCTGATATCCCTCTTGATTTTGACCTCCCAATACTTAATTACAATTTTGAGTACGTACCTACCCCTCTCTCCACTCGGGGTGTGGGTATGTATATTGATAACGGTTTCAAGTATATCGTTGTTGAAAGAACTTGATGAAGCCTCTCAGGCTTTGTGGATTACTATTCATTTTACTAACAAAAGAGATATTATCTGTAGAGTAATTAATAAATTCTTAACTTATTTTCATGAAACTCTAGAGAGGCTTTCCACTTCAGGTAAATCGATTTATATAATGACTGATGCCAACATAAACCTCCTTCATTATGAAACTTGTAAATAGTCAAAGCTTTTTAGCATACTCCTCAAAGCCTTTGTTTCACTCCAACACTAAACAAACCCACACGGATTCACAAGTCAGAAGAATCAGTCAGAAGACTGACAAATGCCAGCATAAACCACCTCCATCACAAAACTTGTAAATATGCTCAGTTTTTTAGCATATTCTTCAGTCTTTGTTTCACTCCAAAATTAAACAAACCCACAAGAATTCACGAGTCACAAGACTGAACGAGTCAGAAAAGTAAGTTTCTTTAGCTTGACACATAGATTGAGTAATGTCATTCCACTGTCTTTTGTACTCCAACCACTAGGTGGGTCACTTAAAGGCTACGGCTAATTTAAAAAGCTTAACTCTCCTGTTCATCTTTAGGCGTATTTCATTTGTTATCCACAGTGGTGCCTGGCTTTTGATCTTCACTTCCTTCCAAGGAGCGTGTTCATCACAGATATCATTAAACAGAGACTACCAGGCCCACAGAACATCATCCATATCCTCAAAACATCTGGTAGCATGAAATGGTGTGTTAACAAGGTCAGATTTGAAGCTCTTTCCATCAGAGTTCTTATAATTCCATATTTTGATGACTCATGGAGGTGGCCTTTTGTGTCTTAGACGTAAAGTGGCATAAATGAAATCAAGGTTAGAAATACCAAGTGGAAATACTCCCGTGGAGCTTACCAAATCCCTATGGGTTGTGACAATGAGATCAGTCAGCAAAGATGATTCAATTGTAGTTCTTGTCGGTTTAGAGATTATTTTTTGCATATTGAAATTATCTAAAATGGTTTGCAGCATATTACTATATGCTGTATCACTAGAGTCATCGTAGTCACAATTCAGGTCTCTCAGCAGAAAAATGTCAGAAGATTTTAAATATGACCTCTCCAAAGTAGAATAAGCTAAATAACTTACTGCCAACATCAACGCATCTGCAACCTAACTCTGGAGAACAAAGAGGTACCACTTTTGTCTCAGGTTGTCTTAAACAGGGAAGCAGTATCCAGGAAGATTAACTCATTGCAAGTGAAAAATTCTGCTGGACCAGACAATATTCATCCAAAGTTATTAAGAGTGGCTGGAGACACAGTAATCCCATCTTTAGTCAGCTTGTACCAGCACAGTATTGATCGTGAAACTGTGTTTTTGCAATGGAAAGTGGCAAGGATTACGCCAGTACACAAAAAGGACAATGAGACAGATATCGCCAACTACAGACCAGTCTCGCTTCTGAGCATACCAAGCAAGAAACTTGAAGAACTTGTGAATGACTTAGTCGATCATGTTTTCACAGCTAACGACCTTGCTGCAGTCAGACAGTGGGCATACCACAAAGGATATTCTACTGAGTTAAAACTAACACAGCTGACTGAGCTGTGGAGAAAAGAGCTTGATAAGGGAAAAGCCATCGTAATTGCATTTATAGACTTCAAGAAAGCCTTTGATTGTGTTCAGCACTCTTTCCTGAAACAGAGTTACAGCACAATTTTGGTGTCTCTGGTCCATTGCTAAACTGGTTAAACAGTTATCTAAGTGACAGAACAGTTCACTGTGGTCAACATCACCGAATCTGGGACCCAGTCAGTTCAAGTTGGAGTCCCACAGGGCTCAGTATTAGGACCGACATTATTTGCGATATTTTCCAGCGACCTTCCATCCTCTGTGGCTTCAGGAGAGACATACATGTACGCTGATGACATCACAGTATACTGCGTTGGGAACAATGAGGATATAGCAGTTTCACTATTAAACAGAGTGTTAGCAGAGCTGTATGAGTGATGTCTCATAAACAGGCTATGCTTACGACTAGGTCTAATTATATCGGACCTATTCCTCCTGTTTCTATCAGGGGCTCCTTGATAACATGGGTTGAAAATCACGCTTACTAGGAGTGACGGTTAACAACAAGCTGACATGGCCACCACACTTGTCAGAAGTGAAATAGAGCTTCTCAAGCAAGCTCAACTTGCTGAGGAAATCACGATTTCTTCCCAAGAGTGTACTGGAAAATTTCTGTTTAAGTGTTTTTCTGCCATCTGTCATTTAGAGTCTGGTCACTTGGGCAAGTAATTCAGAGCTATTCAGGACACTGGAGAATTTCCACAGTCATGCAGCAAGGATTATTTACAATTTAAAGGACATATTGAATGAAGAGTCCCTTAAAATAGCCAAATGGAAGACTTTGGCATACATCTCCAAGGACAAACTCTTTATTACCAAAACAACTGTGTACTAGTATCATTAACAAGAGGGTGTCATGTTGTGCATTTAGGGGGGATAGACAATAATGTTGTACCTAGATTTATATCTCGTTATTTACAGCAATCTATTAGCTACAGAGGGGCAGTCCTCTGGAATGCAACCACATCAAAGAACTCTGATATTGCTTCTCAGCCAGATAGAACTGCTCTAGATTAAGTAAAATTGAAGATTTCACAGAGTTTACTTTTAAAGTAGAATCAGCTTCTACAGTTGATTTTAGCAATCAAGATTTTAGATATTTTTAGGGTTTTAAGACATTACAACTGTATTTACATGAGATTTCAGAATTTGTTTAGAGCCTTAAGCTATTTATTAAGTTTCTTATTAATTTGATTAGATGACTAAACACACAATCCCAATAGCGTTTAGCTTTTATCATTCATCATGT